CTGAGCAGGTGTTGAGGACCAAACCCCCCGAGACACAGAGTGGTTACAGACACCAGAGCTGTGCTCCAGAAGAGTCCTGTGGCACTGACAGACTCCTTAAATGATCCTGTCCAAGTCCACCTTAAACATGCCCTCCCTCCCTGCAGTTTTCCTTCGGGATAATTAAGCATTCAGTAAGTTAAGAAGTGGAAAAACCTGAGGAAGCATCTGTTTCACAGGTGGGTGCAGCTGTTTCCTCCAAGGGCTTGTTCTCCTGCAGTTTTGCGCAAGCCCGTGCCTCAGTACAAATGCTCCTGGCCATGATGGTGACTCACACTTGTATCTAAACATCCAAATTTTGCAGTTGTTAAAGGTCTCAGGGGATCACTTGCTGTCATACTGCAGTCTTGTGTCATGAAGTGCGGAGTTTCTCACTGTTCATCTGTTCTGAAACAAGGATCCCATGTTTTGATAAATAGGGTTTGGTATCTTTCCCCTGGGTGCTCTGGGCTGTAACTCTGGTACTGCAGAACTGAGGTTTGCATCCTGCCAAGATCAGGCTTCAGAGTGGCATTTATTTTTTTCCTAGAAGTGAACATGTGCTTTTGCTGGCCAGCTCTGTCAGAGCACCATCTCTTTCTGAACTTACGATGTTAAGATTGTTTATATATATATAATATTTACAAGGGCATCAGCAGCCACCGCACCCATCCCAAGTGTCACATCCCTTGATAAACTTCAATGTCACAATAAATCCTCAAATACAATAGTTCCTCCCAGAACTAATATAATTGTGGATTTCACAAGTCAACTCTGCAACCACAGACAAAATTTGTCCCCTGCCTGACATCCCTTTTGCTATGGGCACAGCAGTGTGGTCTGGGGGCTGTGTATCTGGCAAGCTAGGAAGAGGGAAGCCCAGCTCTGCTGGAGCCAGCAGGTGTTTCCCTGCAGTCAGCATTTCATCACGGCAGGGCTGTCCTGGAGTGAGCAGGGGGTTGTTTTCCTGCCCTTTCCATCCACAGGGAAGGGAAACCATTGCACCCAAGTTGGAATTAGACAAGGTGAGGCACTGAGCCTTTGCTCAGTGCTGCATTTCTGTGACACTTTCTTTTGACAATTTACAGCCACTACTGTGGTGCCACAGCTGATGCACTTGGACAACAGAGCCAGCGATCTCAGAAGGCTGTTCAGGAGCCCCAGCTCTTCTTCACTTATTAAAGGGAGCCTAGAGAGTTTAGGCTACAAATGGAGATGCCTTAATTAATTTCCTCTCAATTAGACAGCATGAATCTGACCCTAAATATCCTTCTAGACACACTGAATTAGTACTAACTTAAACTCAGGTCTGGAAGAGCCCTTCTCAGCTGTTACTTCTCTGGGAACCACACTGAGCCCCAAAAATATCCAGGGCTGTTTATTTGTCTTGACCCAAGACACACAGACCAGCAGAACTCCTTCCCAGCCTTGCAATAAACACAGACCCTTGAGAGACATTGGTGGATTTTGTTCTGTTACAAGTAATAAACCACAGATGGAGAAAACACCAGTGGCACTTGAGTACCGTAGCCCTGTGCCAGCAGGAGAGAAGTGAAAGGGCCGAGCCCAACTTCAAAATTGCATTGTATCCTCAGACTGGAACAAAAAGCAGGGAAAGGACTCCTCCATGGCCCTGGATCTGTCACTTGTGACCAGCCTGAGTGTGGGAGCAGGATGCATCAAGCAGGCAGCACTAGTTGGGTAATGACCAAGGAAATGGAACCATTTTTCTGACCATTGAGTAGGATGGATCTCACCATCTCTGCTGGACCTGGTTCGTGTTTGGTGTCATCAGGTTAAAAGAGTTTTATATCATCAAGTCGAAGGAGTCCCAAATGGGAATGAGGACCTGTCATCCACTCCAGAGGTAACTTTTGCCAGAACTGACCAGCTGTGAGAACACAAGCCTGCTGCAAGGCTCCAGAGGCCACCAGTGTGTTCTGGGGGTGACCCAGCAGCCCTGGGACAGGAGACAGTTCTGAAGTCACTGAGGACTGAGTGAACACAATTCTCTGTACCATGCTGCTTGTAGCAGCTTTTATTTTGGCTTCTGCAGGTAGAGGGACATGGGTAGAGATCCTGCTGAGACAAAAGACTGTGTGTATGCTTGCCTTCATTTTATTCTTTGGCCTGACATGATTTTTAACAATTATTTAAATATCTGTTTTTCAAATAACTATAAATCCAGAGAAGCTGCTGGTTGGGCATGGTGACTGAACCCAGAAGAATGTAACAAGGTGTATTAAACACCCACTATTCTTTGCTTGGGGGAGATTTTAAGCAGGGTTGACATCTTTATTGCTTCACTTGAGGCAGCTCAGGCAAAAGGAAGAAATAAAAATTGGTGTTAACTTGGGTGCGTCCTGCCTTTGATCATTCTGAGTCACTCAACCATCATGTTCTTCTTTAACCTCTTGGCATGTCCAGAGGGGTTTGCAGCTCGGTTCTAGCATGAGGGGTAGTTTTGTTTCTCCCAGTGCCCTACGAAAATCTTGCACAATGCATGGAGTGAGCTCCCAAAATCAAGGGATCTCTAGCTGATACTTCTTCACATCCTGCTCCTATAATCCAAGAGGTGGCTTGAAGGATGAACAAGACTGAACTTGGTACATTTTACTGCCCTGGGAAGGTGGAAGCACTCAGGTGGATGATGATGATGAGAAGCTTGGAAAGGATGATTTATAATCAAATTATTCTTTACTTTTGTTGTAGGTTGAAAACTTAATCAGCCATCATAATGCTGGCTTACTGCTGAATATTCCCCACAGAACTCCTGACAAGTGAGTAATGTTGGGATTTTGGCTGAACAGTTCATCCGAGGTCACACAGCAGGTTCATGTTAGAGCAGAATTTGGAAGATCGCAGTTTGAGGTGCAGCTGCTGCTTCTTATAGAATCAGAGAATGATGGAATGGTTTGGGTTCGAAGGGAACTTTTTAAGTTCATCCAGTCCCACCCCCTGCCATGGGCAGGGACACCTTCCACTGTCCCAGTGTGCTCCAAGCCCCATCCAACCCCTGGTCTTGAACACTTCCAGGGATAGAGCAACCATAGCTTCTCTGGGCAACCTGTGCCAGAGCCTCACCAGCCTCACAGTGAAGGATTTCTTCCTAATATCTAATCTAAACCTGTCCTCTTATAGCTTAAAGCCATTCCTCCTTGTCCTGTCGATGCACAAAGGGGGATGTCTTATTCTAACAGAAGGAGGAATGGATTGAGCAACACATTACACACTGTCCTTTTAAAAAGCCACAAATATGCCATCTTCCCATCTTCAGGGGCCCTGGAGGGGTCAGAATTCAGCTGGGGTTTATATTCTTGCCGTGTGAGAAAATGAGACCAGAAGTGTGCAGCACTTTATCCCTGTCTTGTTTACAAGCAGCAGGAGAATGTCCTGAGAAATGTGAGCAGCTAATTTTAGGTGACAACATAGTTCGGGCCCTCCAAAAGGAGAAGGAATGTATCTCCAGCCAGACTGCCTGGAGCTCCAAAGTTCCTGAAGGCAGTGGATGTTTATGGCATCTCCAGAACCTGAAATCTTTTGTGTGTAGACATAATCATCTGGTGTGCCACAAGCAGAGGTGGCTAGCATGGACATGATTGTGAAATCCCCCATCTCATGGAAGAGGAGAAGCTGCATCTGGGGTGGTTTGCACTGTGCTAATGCTCTCCAGCCCCAGACTCAAGGGGATTTCCAAATGCTAATTAATTAGGAATCAGAGTTTTCTCTTTCTAGTAGTGGGGGCACAGGGAGCATGGAGGCTGATCTGGTGTTGCACAGGAACCTGAAAGGACCTAGATGAATTGCAGGGCTTGATTCCCAGGGAAACTGCCCTACCTTGGAGGCAGGAATGAAAGAGGCTGAATTTAAATAACCCACTACGTATTCCCTGTGTTTTTTTCCATCTTCTGTCTTGTTTCCCAGCACTCAGCTGGGACGGGGATATGCTGGGGCTGCATTGCACAGTGCCTGGGCTCCTGGCCCAGCTTTGTATTGGCCCAAAGAAGGTACCATCCCTTGTACCACTTCTCCCCAGGAAAGCTTCCTGACCCTAAGGAACGGCTCCATCTTTCTCAAGTCACTCCATATGTACAGAGGCTCCTGTCCAAAATCTGACTGCTCTGTCCCACCCTGGCCAGCAAGGATTAAGAGTGCCCTCTGCTGCACTCTTCCTTCCGTGGCAGTGCTCTGCTTGCTCTTCGGGAATAAACAAAATGACTCTTTACTACAAAAAACAACTTTCATGCTCTAAAGGTCTGCCGTGCTGGCTGTGCACAAGCCTGGTGCTGTATTTCAGCAGCAAACAGAAAGCATCATGACCCCAAATAAAGATGTGTGTGATCCTGCATCCATCCCAAAGCACTTTGGGGAACCTCTGCCCTTTATGAAAAACTTTCATCCAGAAGCTTTTCATTGCCTTATGAAATATGCAGCTCCTCATGCAGGAGTTCTAATCACGAAACTTTCATTCCCCAGAGCTGACAGGTGATGCACAGCCAGATGTGTACCTGACAGCACCAAACTACCCATCCCTCCCTCCTGCTCAGACTCTGAGCGCCACAAATCTCTGTTTCATCACTCCTCAGCCCTTGCAGCCAAAAAGGAACAAAGGGGGTCTGTGTCATGAAAGCTGTGCCAAGCTTCATAATCGGAGGTAGAAAGAGGAAAAATTTAAAAATAATAATCCTGCTTTTACTGGGGTTTGATTTACCCACTTGGAAAGTAACCAAGCTGCAGACAGCGGTGGCAGCCCCGTAACCGTCGGAGCCGCAGGAATCCACTCGTGCTCCCTGGAATTTGGGCATTTTTTGTTGCACCCTTTTGGGCTCCGTTCCAGCCTGTCACTCAGCGCGGGGCCCGCCCCTTCCAGAGGACATTTAAAGAGAAGCTGATGCACAGATTGCTCCAGAGAGACGGGAAACGCCGAAGGAGGGGGAGGGAATAGCCGGCAGTCTGGATCCCTGCCCTTCGCAGTACTCGGGATGCCTGGCAGCTTGGGGACAGTGCCCCGGACCCTGTTCCTGCTCCTCCTCTTCCCTGGCTGGGTACGTACGGCCCTGCAGCAGCTCTGCCTGGGCACTGCAGCTTCTTGCTTCGATGCATGCGAGGGCTTTGGGCTCAGAGACTCTTCCCGGCTGACAGCTGCTCCCGAGTTTCCGAGGGGAGCTGGGCTGGGAGCAGTGATGCAAACGTCCTGGGTAACTAAACCACACTGGGGGCTCCCCCGTGTAACGTGTGTCTTCCACGGGTCTCAGAGCTCCTGGCACGTGGGAATGGGTTTTGTTTCCTTCTACTCCTGGAAGCCAGAAATCGGCCCTGGTCTAGAAGCGGGAGAAGAGAGCAGAGAGAGGGGAAGTCAGTGAGTTTGTCATTGCAAAGAGTAACAGTCTCATATCCCAATTCCTTCCCATCACCACTCTTCCCCAGCTGTCACTGAATCCACCCATGTGATCCCAAAAGCAGTGATCCCAAGGGGAAAATTAGACTGCATCATCTCCAAAGCAGGATTTCTGCCTGTTTTCCTGTTAATACAAGTTCTTGAGAGAGCAGCTGATTCCTCTGTGGACATTTGAGTGTTGTTCTCATGTCAGCAGCATCAGGAACGTCACTGTCATCAGTAAGTTGCTGTAAGTGCTTTTTGGCTCAGTGAAACTGGGTTCACAGAGCCCCTTGCAGGGCTTATTGAGGTGAGAGAGGCAATCAGTTCCTGGTTGGTGAGGTCTGTTGGATTGCTCCTAGCAGTACTTAGTGTGTGCCAGCCCTTTTCCTGCCAAGAATGCTAACTGGGCTGCAGTCTAAGGGAAACAGCTGCCATTTAGGGTGGGCATCTTGATTCTTACTCTGGCTCAGCTGTGGCAGCACCACGTAGCTCATATAAACAGTAACAAGTAATGCCACCACTGTGACTCTTGGTTACCACTCTGAGACAGGTGATTTTCCCTAAACCTCAATGTCAAATGCTCAGAAATGTGAGTTTTGACTTTCTTTAAGCAATAGGTTGGATTCAGTGGCCTTTGATGTCTTTTCCAACCTTAATGATTCTGTGATGCTTTGTGGATTAAGGCAGAAAATGAGAGCTGTTACTCCTGAATCTCTCTTTTGTGTTGTTCAGAGGTGGGAGTAGCTCCAGGATTACTGTGAGTTGTGTGTAGGCTCATCCTGGGCAGGTGTCTGTATCCCTGGGCTCTGTCTGTGAAGGGGGTCCCTGGTTCTTGTCTCTCCAAAGGAGTTGTTATACGTGCTGCAGCAGCTGTAGGAAGGCATCTTTAGAGCCTGAGATGGAGAGAGAGCAGAGGTTATCCACAGTCATTTGGAGTTTGAAGGATGAATAGCTGTGTTTTGGCTGCTTAGTCTTGGAGCACTAAAAGAACCAGCCGAGTGTTTATTATATCACCTCTACCTTGCAGCATTAACCCCTGGCTCCCAAAGCTCTTTGCAAACACCCAGCTCAGCTCAAAATTCACCTTTTCCTGCCCTCTGAGTGCAGTGGGATCAAAATGAGCCCAAACATATTTTAAAACATCCTCTTTGGTTTGGCTCCCTTAGCTGGTTCCCTGGGCTCCTGTAGACATTGGTCAGGAATGAGAAATCCAGACAGTGACACGAACCTGCTGCCGTGGTGGAAGCTCATGTTGCAGCACTCATACCTTCAAAAAGGTGCAGGGGAAGAGGTTTTATGTAAATATGAAGCAGGAAGAACATTCTCAGTTTTTCTTACCTGCAGGTAACTGGGTTTGATTTTGGCGGTTGGGAGGGAGCTTGTTGTGGCTTGTCAGCTGAGCAGACAGCTCTGGGGAGTCAGAGGTGGAGAACACAATGGAGTAGAGCAGAGCAGGGGAATCCTCTGGTCTGAGTGTTGGCACTTCTGCTGTGGCTTGGCCATCACTCAGGGGTCCTGGAGGTCCCACAGCTTCACACACAGTGTTTGTGATGGATGCAAGAGCTGTCAGAAAAGCCAGGAGAGCCAACATTCCAGGCTTTAAAACCTTCTTAAATCCATGGCCTTGATCTCAGCTTTGTTCTGCTGCTCTCAGAGTTCACAGAAATGCTCTGCAAACCTCAACAGAAGCCAGGTAAAAGTTGTCGTGAACTTGAAGTCAAGAGTATGCCCAGTGAAGGCAGAAGTGAGTTTTGGGGCAACCCTTTCTGCAGAGGCATGGATGTGACAGCCTGGTCAAAGAGTAAGAAAACTAGATAAGTTTTCCCAGAATTGGCTTGTGAGACTTTAGGGAGCTGAAGATAAACAATGATAGCTTATTATTATAAACAACCTGCAGGTGGTGTTTTCCCACTCTGTTTTCCTGTTTTTCTCAACAGAAGAATGGCTAATTAGAAAGAATGGCTAATTAACAAAACACCTATCAGGTGAAATGTATTGATTATTGACCAATCTGATCTATCTGTACTGGAACAGTGTATAAAAAGAGAGAATTCAAAGTAAAGTGAGGTGCTGTGCAAACTAGCCTTCTGGTGAGTCTGTGTCGTTTCTTACTTGACAGTGACACAGATGGAAGAAAATGAAATATTCTCTGAGTTGAATCCCTCTGGACCCAGGTCAGTGGCAGGTTGTGTGGAAATATTGGGCTTTGTGTTACCTTTGGGTCTGCAACAAAGCCCTGAATTCCAATCCTGGCAGTTCTTGGGAACAGTTTATGGAGTTCTTTGGGGCAGTTTTAAGGTAGTTCTTTGGGCAGAATAATGAGAAGCAGCCCTTGGAAAGAATGCAGGGTGAAGGGTGCTCCATGCAAAACCAATATAATCCACTATTCAGCCTCTCTGAAAGAAAGTTCAGTAATGGAGGGCTCAAGGAAGTTGGTTGAACATTGACTTTTTCCCACTTGAGAGCCTCCCTGGCCAGGCAGTTTTTCAGTGCTCTGGCTGTTGGGTGTGTGTGAGCCAAACCCCATTCTAGCTCATTCCCTCCTCTTCCAGGCCTTGGAGAGCAGCAGGAATTATAAATAGCTTGGGCTGACTTTGCTCAGCAATAAAACCAGCAAACAGGAGCCCCGACACCTCCTGGGCAATGGAGGGAGACACATCTGAGCCAACTGGTGGGAGCATCTGGGAGTATTTAGAAGGGTCCTGAAAATCATGATGAATTGGGCTTTGGAGCTGATGTCTGGGGGAGCTGAGGTACAGCATAGGTGGGTGCAGGGTCACCACCTGGTCTCTGATGCAACAGAGATCTGAATCCAGATGTTCTCCTGCTGAAAAGCAGCTATGATACAATGAGGAAGTGAGGCTGCTGTGAACAGAAGGTAAAACCAGGTGGGCTGGTTTATGTGCGTGAGTTATTAAGGAAATAACTAGTGCCAGCAATGATTAATGAGGGTGGGGAAAAAACCCACAGAATTGTGGAATCATGGAATGGTTTGGGTTGGAAGGGATCTTGAAGATCATCCAGTTCTATCCCCTTGTCATGAGCAGGGACACCTTCCACTAGACCAGGTTGCTCCAAGCCCTGTCTGACCTGGTCTTGGACATTTCCAGAGGTGAGACAACTCAGTTGGGTTTAAAGCTGTTGCCTTCTCTTATCCCCAAAGAGCTTGGTTTGGTTTGCATTTCAGCAGAACTATTTTGGGAGTGTTTCTTTCTATGGCCTGTGGCTGACACTGCATTGGAAAATGCTTGTTATCATTATTTTTTCTTAAGTGCATGGATTAAGTCTTTATATAGATCCCACATTAGGAATGCTTTGTCTCTTGTGTGGTCTCACACGCCCACTCCAACTCATCTGGGTTCCTTGGCATCTCCAGCAGGTGGAGCTGGGAAAAAGTAGGGAAGATTTCTGATTTTTAGTTCTTTTAATGCACTTCAGCAGTTGATTCCTGGGACATGCCAGGTTCTGGTGAGTGGCTCCAGGACAGTTGGCTGGGAACAGTTGGGCTGCAGGCTGGAGAGGCTTGTTTCCAAAATACTTAGTGCTAGGAGTTATCCAGGAGAATTATGCTGATTCCTGTTGAGCAGGGAGACTCTAGAAAGACTCACCCCTTGGGACCACCAGAGGGAATGGCTGGAGCTCTTTCAGGAGTGGTTTAGATGGAGATCAGGAAAGGTTCTTCCCCTGGAGGGTGCTGGCACTGCCCAGGCTCCCCAGGGAATGGGCACAGCCCCAAGGCTGCCAGAGCTCCAGGAGCCTTTGGACAACACTCTCAGGCACAGGGTGGGATTGTTGGGGTGTCTATGCAGGGACAGGGGTGGTATTCCATGATCCTTGTGGGTCCCTCCCAACTTGAGATATTCCATGACTTTGAGGGAATATTTAGCCCAATCCCAGTCCCACAGTGCTGTATTGGTGACACAGCTGTACAAAGAAGGTTGCACATTCTGACCCCACATGAACTAAAGTCAGAGCAACAGTAAAAATAGCTGGAAAATTTTTCCTACTCTGATTGGTGACAGACACAATATTCAAGGAAGCTATTTCACAAGTGAGGGCTGGATGGGATCTGAAAAGTGCAAACAGAGCCATAACAAGACATATTTTTTGACTTGTTCCAGTTGTGTGTGCCCTTCCCTGCTGCCCTCAAGGCTATTACCAGCTCAGCTGCTGCTCTCCTGGGGTGACAGCAGAGCTGTGAGGGGTCTGCCTCACTGTATGCTTCCCTCTCCACCCTGATCATAGCAGTGCAGGATCCCAGAGTGTTTTGGTGGCATCATCCATGTGCCAGGGTTGCGTCAGCCCTGGGTGGGAGCTGAGCTGTGTCCATAATAGTGGATAGTGCATGGAGCGGGGCAAGGGGGAATTTGGATGGGCAGGATCTGAACAGTAAACCCGGCTGCAGCTGGCACTGATGTTTCTGAGGAAGTTTCAGAGGATCTCTAGAGACCACATGTTCTGCACTGTTCACAGTCAAGTTGTTACATCTTGCCCAAATCTGGGCACAGCCAGAGCTGAGCTGGTGTTCCTGCTCTGAGCTGATGCAGGACAGGGATGGCACACACTCAGTGGCTGGGATGCTGGACCCATCTAGGTTTTCCAGAGCAGGTAATCCTACTTCAGCTGGTCTCTGTTTGGTGTCTGAAGTGTCATGAAGCCAAGGGTGTGTTTCAAGGGCCAGTGAAGTGCTGCCAAAGGGGGGCATCTGTGCACTCACAAGGTCCCAAGGAAGGTTGGTTATGCTGCGTTCCTTGGAAAAAGGAGAGGGCGCATGTAATAAGGAAGAAAGTGTGAGATGCAGGGGACAAAATGAAACTTGCAAGCTTCTGGGCTGGTTTTCAGCATCCCCACAGTCCTACTGCCTGGCTTTGGGCAAGTCCTGTTGCTGTGCACATTGCTTTTTCAGCTTCCACTGGGTCTGGTGCTGGTACAGAGGCTTTGATGGTTGTCCTGTGTAAAAGCTGGAATTCCTTGCTGTTAATGATTACTACTTTATTGCTTCCAGAGAGGCTGAGCTGTGCTGGGGACTCTGAGCTACTGCTTGTCCTGTTTGGTTTGGATCTGCTTCCAAGAGACATCTATTTTTTTTTCCCCCTTGAGCTCCAGATGAAATAGGGATGAGGAAAACATGAGTCCTGTGAGTACCTGGGAGCTGCATACACCCCTCTGGCTGGTCCCCTTCTCTTCTGGGGTATCTGTGCTTTCAGCAGAGACATGTTTTTCCTCTCCCTATCCAGCTGCCTTGCAATAGACTCATTCTCTCCATGGCTTTTTGCCTTCCAGGTAGAACCACAGGCCTGCATGTTCCCATGCCAGTGTCCCTCCCAACCTTCGCAGTGCCCTGCGGGTACCAGCCACGTGTGGGATGCCTGTGGCTGCTGCAAGGTGTGTGCCCAGCAGCTGGGTGAGCTCTGCTCCTTGCACAGGCCCTGTGACCATCACAAGGGACTCTATTGTGACTTCTCAAAAATCCACAGAGGCAGTGGGATCTGCTTAGGTGAGAGCTGCAGGTTCTGTCCTTGTGTGTTTTTTCCGTGGTGCCTCCCCAGAGCACCCATCAGAATTTCCTTGGCGCTTCATCCAGCGCCATGCTGGGAGATCAGTGTCAGCGTGGGAACAGCAGATCCCCTGGAACACACACAGCTGGCGTCTCACAGCTCCAGCGAGGCATGAGTGGGGCTGTGGGACTTTCCTGTGTCTTGTGACAGTGTATTTCTGGCCATAGCATATGGGTGGGAAGAACTGAATAGCTCCTTCACCACATTGTGTCTCTGTGGAACATGAGAATTCCAGAGCCAGGTAATACAAAGGCAGAAACTGCTTTCTCTCCCAACAACACCTCTTTTCAACTAGAAAAGAAAAAAAAAATTTTTTTTTTTAGTAGTTCCTTCTGAAGCAAGCAGAAATTATTTTGGTATAGAGGAAAATAAATAAATAAATAAATATAGAGAGGAGTCCAGAGGTATTTCTGCAACCTCCTGGACTCCTCTGCCCCATCTCTGACAGGAGCCAACTTTTTTTTCTTAAATTCAAGATTTTCAAAATAGTCAGGAAGACCTAAGAGTTGGCAGTTTATTGTGAGTACTTAGGGAAATGTTTGGCCACAGCACTGGATGTCTCTGGAAATGATCCAGCACCAGCCTGAGACAGAATCATTGTATCATGGAACAGTTTAGCTTGGAAAGGATCTTAAAGCTCTTCTTGAGCCACCCCCTGCCATGGGTGGGGACACTAATCCCAGTTTGCTCCAAGCCTTATCCAACCTGGCCTTGGACACTTCCAGGACTGGGGCAGCCACAGCTTCTCTGGGCACCCTGTGCCAGGGCCTCAACAGCCTCACAGGGAAGAATTTCTTCTCAATATCCCATTTATCCCTAGCCCTTGTCTAACTGAGTCTAACTTGTTGGTGTTTAGTCCTTCAAGAAGTTTTTACAAGTTGCTTCATTTTCATTCCCCAATTTGGGGAATTTTTTTGAAGCCATGGTTTTTGGAGCTCCTGGTACTTTCTGCAGACATCCAGCAGGTGTGAGCTGCATGCTGCCTCATTCCAAATAGGAATGAGGTGTCTGTTTGTGGAGAAAAGGTAGCAAAATCACAGGAACAATTTCCTCAGGAGTGTGGGAGACACCATTTCAAAATCTCTCCGTGAAGCCTTGAAATCATTCTAATAAAGGTGCTTTGTATTCACCAGACATCCAGGTTTGATCCAAACATTTTGGAGTGAGAGTCCCAGATCCTGCTGTGGAGGAAATCAGACTTGCAGACACAACTATCCTTCCTGGTTTTAAATAAGAAATTAAGCTTTTCACAGCAAAAACTGCAGTGAACACAGGCCAGGATTTATTTCTAGAATGGGCTGAGGATTTGGGCCATAATATCCTTGGGTGATGTTTTTATGATGTCCACATGGATCTGTTGGAAGATTTTGGAGGGATTTTGGAGGCACTGAAGGAAACTGGAGGAGTGAGTCAGAGGAAAGGAAGGATCAATGTTTTGACTTAAATTTATCCAAATAAGCAGATGTGCTAGGAGAAAAGAGCTGAGGTATCAAGAGAAAAGTATCTCAGTTGAGACCAGTCTGTAGGCTGTATTGGGAGAGATGGGAAGGGAACCATCAGAGGGAAACTTATTTGTGTAATATTATCACATTCCACATATTCCAGAGGAATCCTTTCCTTCCTGCAGAGACCTCGGAGTACCAGAAAGGTAGACAGGATCCTGTAGTAACGCTAAAGCAGGGGTGTCCTGCAGGTGATAGGGAGTGCAGGGAGCTGGTAGAGCTTTACAGAGCAGCTCTTTCAGCGATGCCATATCCCCTGAGGAAAAGGGCAAAAAGTCTCCTTGGCTGGGCTTGGTGGTTGGGTGTGGGTGGTGCCAGGCAGAGCCAGGGAATAAAGAGCTGGATCACTTAATGGGAGCTGTCTTTTCGGAGCCTTAATGGGACCAGGTCAGAGGGAAAGGGAGGTCATGGAGGGCAATGAAGGGCACAACAGAGGGATTGAGTTTGGAAAACAAAATCAACCCCTGGAGCAGGCTGCTATTCTTTGGGAGGGGAGGGAGGAGAGGGAATGGCATGATCTGCTCACCGAGATGGAAGAGAGTTTAAAAATAAGTATGAATGGTTGTATAGAGGGAGGGTGGATGGATGGCTTCCACTTTGATGGATAAAGTGAGGATTTTGAAATGTCAAAGTTGGAGCACAGGAGTATTTTTATCCCAACGACATGGTAAAGAGTTGCAAGATGAGATGCAGGTCTTAATAGGAACAGTCCAGAAGGATTTGTGTCCCCTCAAGGGATAGGGATGGGATGGAAAGAGATTCTTACTCCTTGTTTGATTCAAACACTTTCTATCTGAAACAGTGTCCCTGGGCAAACAGGACCTAGGGGAAAACAGATCAGGTTTCCTGGGAAACCTCCACAAGCAGTCAAAAATTCTTCCTTTTGGTAACTTCCCCATAAAGGTTTGCGTGAATTTTTAAATTTTTTTTTTTTTTTAGGATTCAGGATTGCAGAAAACAGCAGCTGCTGAAAACTGTCCAAAATCAAGATTTCTGACTTGTGAAAACTCTGAGATTTCAACATTTAATTTCAGGCTGAGAGGAAAAAAAAGATATTAAATATATATATAAGTATTTTTTTAAAAACCTCAAAATGTTCCATGACTTATTTAGAATACTCATTTGGCTGTGCCAAAACTTTCCCTTTCCATTCTATCAAAATATTTCATCTTCATCTTCATAGTATCAAAATAATTACCAGAGCAAAATGCTTCCCTCTGTGGATACTATCCCACGAGTACTTTGCTTGAGCATAAAGGAAATCTTTCATGTCAAATGGTTCAGTTGGTTCTTCTTGAAAACATTCTTGATCTTAATCAGCTAAGAGATTTCTCCTGGAAAGCTTCCAGTGCGAAAGTTCTGGCTAATGCAGTCATAAGAACTTGGGAGCGTTGTTGTGCCTGCAGAGTAAAGGTTCCTGCTCTGTGTCAGATATTGTTTCCTTTTTTTTTTCCCATTTAAGTTTTATTTGGAAGGAGGCAGAGACTGGAAGGAGGTCTGGTGATGAGAGATCCAGAGATCAGAAAAGAGAGAACTGGAAAAAATTGAGACTGAAAGGAGGAAGAGATTTGTGCATCATAGAGGGGCCAAAAAGGTCATCAGCCCAAAGTGTCATTTTCATTTGTAGGTACCATTTGCATGGGGGAACCAGACGTTCTTAGAAGAGTGTTGCCTGTTGGTATCCCAGGAGTACTGAGGAGCAAAGCCATGCTCACATGACATGTCAGGAACGTCTTGCACAGCACCACTGACTTGTCACTCTGAGCTGGTTGGGAAGAACTCTGACAGAGAAACAGGCTCTTTACAAGCACCAAAGACAAAATCATACTTAGTAGCTCATCCAGGTGGAAAAGAAATTTTTCTAGAGAATTTTGGGAGGACCAGCACTTCTGAAAAATCAGTGTCATGAATAGCCTGGGGTCCAGGGAGGCAAATATGACATATGCAGCACTGGGATGGCAAAGAAGGGGAGGATGGGCTCTATCCCTCCTCAGGAGCTCTGTGTCCCCAAGGCAGGGCTTCAGCCTTCTGCTTACTCCTCCTTCTCCTCCTCTTCCTCCCCCAGCTCATGAGGGTGCGACATGTGACCTGCTGGGCAAGATCTACCTCAATGGGGAGAGCTTCCAGCCCACATGCAAGCTGCAGTGCATCTGCATGGACGGGGCCATCAGCTGCATCCTGCTCTGCTCCGATGACCTGCGCCTGCCGTCCCCAGAGTGCCCCACGCCCCGGAGGGTGAAGTTCCACAACAAGTGCTGTGAGGAGTGGGTGTGTGAGGAGGGCAGCGAGGATAACCGCTTTGGAACAGCCACGGCAGGTCAGTGGGGCACATGGGATGGGGCTGGGAGCTGTTTCCTGGGGAAGAGGGGTAGATTGATTTGGAGCACTGACTGGTTTGGGGCTGGGGGTGGCTTTGTGCATCATCATGATGGGGGTGAGTACCAAGTGTTGGGTTCCAGAGCTAAACACTAGGTCCAGCCCACCCAGCTGCTCTATCAGTCCCCTTCCCAGCTGGACAAGGGGGAGTGTAAGAACCGTGTCTGGACGGGCTGTTTGGGTCCAATCCGGCTAGCTACGGACCTTAGCACACATGAGCTTACATGGATGAAGGCAAAAGACTGGAAGCGCTCTTCTCCACATGGGGACGAATGTCCTCTGCTTATTGACTTGGAGGACACACCTCAGACTCAGGCAACCCCCAAGATGGGAAAGAGGGTGTTGCCTGATGGTGGGAGACTTTTATACCCAGGGAATGGGGGCGGAGGAAGAGGACCACTGCCAGTGGGATACCAGTGAGGAGTGGGGAGGGGACACGTAAATGAGGGAAGAGACCACCAGGGCTGGCACTTGTTGGGGAGGAAAGAGGAAGACCGTGTGGTCATAGGATACAAATCAAGTGAACAGTGCAAATTACCAAACACCCAGTGCAAACAACTAAATAACTATTTAGTGCGATACAACAGGGGAGAAAATAAATGGAAAGTGACTTGTAGGTTGAGATAGGGCAGTTTATTAAAGGAAAAGTGAAAGTTTGCATGTGCACAAGCAAAGAGAAAAAGAATAGATTTATTCTTTACTTCCCATCATCAAATGGCGTCCAGCCACTTCCTAGGAAGCAGGACTTCAGCACATGGAGCAGTTGCACCAGAAGGCAAGCATTGTGAATAGCAATTTCCCCCTCCCCCTCTTCCTCCTGCTTTTCTTAGCTTTTATATCTGACCTGACATCATACAGTCTGGAATATCCCTGTGGTGAATTTGGGTCAGCTGTCTTGGTTGTGTCCACTCCTAGGATCTTGCCCACTCCCAGCCCCTTGATTGGGGGGAGAATGTTGGAGAGACATCACTGATGCTGTGCCAGCCCTGCCCAGCAGTAGCCAAAAACACTGGTGTGTTACCAACACCTTTCCAGCTCCTACTGCAGAGCACAGCGCTGGAATGGCTGCTCTGGGAACATCAACTCCAGCTCAGCCAGACCCGATACAAAGTGAAACCTCAGTGGTGCTATGGGAAAGCTTCTGTGTCCTGAAGTGTCCCAGCAGACCTGTCTGGAGCCGGGCTATGTAGGAAATGGCCCCTGCCCACCTGCATCCCCTTCCTGCTGAGAGGCCAAGCATCTCATGGGATGGGCCAGACATTTGCTGATGTTCCTGAAGTGTTAAACTGAGTTGGGAGCAGCCATGGAGCTGCCACTCTTTGTCCAAAGCCCTAAGCCTTGCCTTGTGTCTCTTCCTCATGGCTCAGTTTTCAGGAAGGATCCAGCTCACAGGCCAGAGCTGAACAACCTGCAGGAGAACTGCCTGGTGCAGACCACAGAGTGGAGCACATGCTCCCGGAGCTGTGGAATGGGGATCTCCACCCGTGTGACCAACAACAATCCCCAGTGCCGCCTGGAGAAGGAGACCCGGCTCTGCACGGTCCGGCCCTGCGACTTCTCCATGGAGAAAACCAAGGTATGGTGAGGTACGGTGCTGGAAGATAGGTGACACAGCACCCCAAATGCTGGGGACAGCCTTGGGAATGATCCTGACTCTATGCTTCCACTTCCTCTGTGTCCCATTGCCCAGTGATGGGGTCAGAGCACAGGCCTCAATGCATCTTTCCTGTCATGTCCATGGTAATTCATCTGCTTTCTCCCTAGAAGGGGAAGAAGTGTGTGCAGACCCCAAAGCAGCGCCAGAGCCTCCACTTCGAGTTTTCAGGATGCACCAGCACCCGCTCCTACCGGCCCCGGTTCTGCGGCAGCTGCTCGGACGGGCGCTGCTGCACCCCATTCCTGACCAGCACGGTGGACGTGGAGTTCCGCTGCCCCGAGGGGGACTTCTTCAAGAGAAAAATGATGTTCATCAAGATGTGCTCCTGCCACTATGACTGTCCCCAAGACAACGACATCTTCCGGGCCACATATCAGCATTGGATGATCGGAGACCACGTCAAGATTGAGCAGCAATAGCCCTGTCTTGCCAGATCTGAGGTGTGCAGGAGCGCTCTGCAGTGCTTTCGTGGCTGTGTCCTGGCCAATGCAGCCTCTTCCCCTTCTGTGAGGGGCTGTGCCTTCCACAGCAGCACCATTCACACCAGCAGTCCCTGTGCTTTTCCCAATGAGCCGAGGGAGGAGCCGCAGCTGCTCCAGCCCCTGACACCCATGCACAGTGTGCAAAGGTCAGTGAAGGAACCAGAAACAGGCTTGAGCTGCAAACTTGATCTGTATTCCTGCTGGCCAGAGGAGAGAGTGGTTCAAGATCATGTGGCTCCCGCCTGTCTCCAGACAGAGCACAATTCCTGATTCAGACCCTGAGAATTCTTCCAGCATTAACTGGGGGTAGACCAGGCTGCCAGACCAAGGTGTGTCCCCTGAAGGTGCTGCTCTGAGCAGCTTTTAGTGCCTTGATGAACATTTCATAGAACCATGGAGTGGTCTGGGTTGAAAGGCATTTTAAAGCTCATCTTGTTTCAACCCCCTGTCATGGATAGGGACACTTTCCACTAACCCAGGCTGCCCCAAGCCCCATACAACCTGTCCTTGGACACTTCCAGGGATGGGGATGGGGCAGCCACAGCTTCTCTGGGCTGGTGTGGCAGGGCCTCACCAGCCTCACAGGGAGGAATTTCTTCCTAATCTTGTCAGAAATGGCACTGGGGTGGGAGAGGGACTGGACCACACAAGCTCACACGTGCACAGTGAGGCTGCAACTGTTTCAGCTCTGGAGTCTTTGCTCTGGATGTTTTTAAGTAGGAGGAACACTTTGCAGCTCCAGTCTCCCTGGCAATTTTAAGGTACTGGCAAGAGAAATCCTCCTATTTGTAAATGGAGCAGATCCCATCTGGAGTTACTAGGGCAGTGCCATGGGGAGCTGTTGGCACTGGTATCTCCAGCAGTGGGACTTCCTCCTGGCCACAGACTTGGCAGAGTCTCTCTCTGCCCGGAGAGGACCCCATTGCCAACCCATAGCTCCAGGAAAGGCCACCAGCAGCCGGTGCCAGTGGTATGTCCAGCAGCACGTTGGCAGCTTTGTGGGACTGCTAAGGTCTTGTCAGGTGTGGAAAAATCTTCTGATTTTTAGCAGAAAAACCAGGTACAGCACCTGATACTGGTTCTTAAGCCATCCTTGCTTATCACCATTGGAAATCATGAAGAATTTCTGTTCCAGCCAGGCAGGAGCAAGGCTTCACCTCACTATATCTTCCTACCCCAAATCAGAGCCTGATGCCAAGGGACATTCCTAGCTGTCCCCAACTGTTGCCCTGAATTTCCAGACTGCTGACACACCAGCTCAGGGCCCATGTTCCATCCCAGCCTCTGTTCTTTCTCTCAGCCTGCAGCAGCTCATGAATCCTCACCCTCCTGTAATCAATTTGAACTGTAAATAATTTATCTGATATTGTTTCTAAAGCCTTTGTACAGTCCCAGGATCCTGTTGGCACAGCCCTGCTCAGGCTGTTATTCCTCTCTGAGCTTCTCTCGTGCCATTCATACAGTTGCTGAGTCTCAAACCATCCTGAGGTTGCACTTTACTCAACGCTAATAAATATCTCTATTTTTTTATATCTCTGAACTCATCCCTTTGTGTGAGGCTCCTGCCTGGTTCCTCTGCTTACCTTTCCCCAGTGCTGGGATCTTCTGTAGAGTTGAGGGCTGGGTACTGGATGGGAGGGGGTGACAGGGCTTTTTTTCCTGTTCCCAAATAGCAGCAGGATTGATGTTAGTGTTTCACAGACACCTCTGCAGCCCACAAAACACAGCTCCTCCCTCCACGGCTTGGAGGGGGGACAAGCAGAGCCCCCCTCTGCCTGTTGAAGAACCCACAAGTCCTTAATACCAGATTAAAAATAACTCCGGGAGCAGATGTGAACAGAAGTCAGTGATAACAGGGCCAGAACGCGAGGGGCTTTGCAGTGGCTTAACAGCTTATAGATTCATCCTCCTCTCATCACATTAGCAGGGACTCCCCCCTCTCCCACTCCACAGGGCCAAGAGGCTCTTCCTGCTCCCAAACATTCAGCCTCACCGGGGAAGGCTTAGGGCTCCTAGGGAGGGGGAACAAACCCCTGTCAGTCTTGAGCTGCGTGGTGTTGAGGTTCTGAGCTCGGGGCGGGCTCCGGCCCGTGCACCTCTGAGGGCTGCAAAGGCCCTGGCAGAGGCAGCGAGGGACACGGTCCTCGCCAGCGTCCCCAGGGCGGTGACCATTAGATGGCACTAGGAACCTCCCCATGTGGGCACCCCGTTCCCAGGGCAGGATACAGTGGCATGCCCCTCGGCTGCTGAGCGTAACCCCGGGTAGCCCCCGCCAGGAGTGCCCGCTGGGTACTGCAGCCCAGTCCCGGCACCCAGTGCCATCGCAAGGCCACCACCGCCAAGCCAACGGAGACAGCAGCGAGGCCCTCGGTTCTGGGGCCGAGATCCATCCGGCCGCCGCCTCCGTCCCCGTCCTCGCGGGGGCCCTATTCCACCTTATCTCCGCAGCCGCCGCCTGCGCGGCATCGATAACCCGGGCGTGGCCCCAGGGATGGGGTCGGGTTTGGGGGCGCTGCAGTGACCCTGACGCCCTTACCGGCTCCGGCCACGCTGCAGCCTCCTGCGGTGCGCTCAGGATGGGGACACCCCCGGCTCCTCCAGCACCCAGCAAGGACGGGGTTTTCCCTAATAAAACTTCGGAAAATAGTGAAAATAAGCAAAAATATCTACAAAAGCCCTAATTCTGCCGGTTTGGGGGGTTTTGGGGTTCTGCCATGACGCGGGGGGAACCCGGGGGGAGGGACCCTCTCCTTATTTGGACCTATGACGTCACGGGACGCAGGAGGAATCTCTTGGCCCCACCCCCCGCCCGTCACCTGCGGGTCCCGCCCACTGCAGCGGCGCGCGCTGGCCTCGCCCCCTCCGCGCTCTGACGGGCGGGGGCGGCAGCCAGTGGGCGCGGCCAAGGGGGGCGGGGCTCGTGTTGTGACGTCAAGGGGCGGGGGCGGGGCCGGTGGTGCAGGTGGAGGCAGCGCGGAGCGGAGTGGCGGCCCCGGTGAGCGGGGGCAGGTGAAGTTTCTCGGGTGTCAGGCCTGTTATGGGGTGAGAGAGGTTTTGAGGGGAGGGTGAGGGCTGTAGAGGTCAGGCAAGTTATGGGGTGCGGGGATGCTGTGGGAGTCCTGGGGTGCTTTGGGAGATATAGGGATCAGGCAAGTTCTGGAGGATTTGGGGCTCCCTAGAGGGACCCATGGTGGGTCAGTCTGGTCGTGGGCTGCGGGGTTTTAGGAACAGTTGTGGTGCTGTGGGGGCACATGGGGGCTCAGGCTGTTTATGGAGTGGAGGGGTTGCCAGGGGACATGGGGTGCTATGAAGCAGGGGGTCTCCGGTGGGGTCAGGCTGCATGTGGGGTGATCTGGGGCTGCAGAAACCAGGGGCACCCGTAGAGGTCAAGCTGGATGTGAGGTGGTTTAGGGTGCTCAAGGGTTTGGTGGGGGCTGGGGATGTCAGTCGAGGTGTGGGGGATCCACGGTGACTGAGGTGTGAAGCAGGGGATTGTGGAGAAATGGGTGATGTTCAGGGGCTGGAGGAGACTAGGGAAGCACCTGCAGCGCTCTCAGGAAGCCTGTGGGGCAGAAGGGAAGTGAGGTGCTCTGGAGTGGGGAGATCCCCAGTAGGGTCAGGCTGGGTGTAGGGGGAATGGGGTTGCACTAGGGCTGTCCTAGAGACTCTGAATGGGGCTGCAGGGGAGGATGTGGGGGGGAGGGCCACCCACAGTGGATTCATGCTCAGGAGATGGATGGGGCCCTGCCTCACGGGGAGTGGCCAGCCCCGGGATGTTTTCCCCCCATGCTGTTGTTTCATCTGGTGCAGTGGAGGGGAAAAGGCAGGTGCAGCCTCGGGGAGGAGGGTCCCCCCTGCACCCCACAGTCACGGCAGCAGCACTGGTGTCCCTTCCTGGGAGGTGGCAGCTCCCGCTTTGGCATTTGGGTCCAGCTTTGTTTCTTGGAGCATTCGGTGTTGCTGGAGCTGTGCCAGAGATGCAGCAGCTCAGCCTGTGGCTTCGGGGTGGCCGCGATCTCTTCCCGAGACACCGTCTGTGCCCGCCGGGACGGTTCCCAAAGCCGGCGGCAGTGGCCGAGCTGCGGGGCGGCGGGGGCTGCTCCTGCCGTCGATCCCAGTCCCGGCGCCGGTCGGGGTCGCGCTGAAGCCTCCCATCGACTTCCCCACCCCCTTCGGGAGTCGAAGTCTTCACGTCTCCTCCTCGACGGGGACACTTTGCGCTGATGTTGCAACCACAGGCGTGTGCGGCGTGCCCGGCGGTTCCTGCAATCTCTTCCTCTCCTGAATTTCGCCCTCCTGCAGTCGTGGTGGGACGAGAGGCTGGTGAACCTGCTCGTTAGTTCGTGCCGTTGGCTGTGCCGGCGGCGGGTCCGAGCGGCTGGTGGGATGGCAGGGGACAGCGACTATCTTTAGGGCTGTGTTGCAATGGAGGGGTGTGCCTTGGCTCGGCGCTGCCGGCAGCAGCCTCCTCGCCCGAGGATTGACTTACGCCGAGGCTCCCGCATGGGGAAAACCAACACTTGCTCTGCGGTTTGTGTGAGCAGGAGGGGGGCTGTGGTGGGGCTGTGAGGCTGAGCCAGGGGTCTGACAGTATGGGGGCTGGTGTCAGTCACACATGCCCTGCATGAGGTCAGGCTGTGCAAGATGTGCAGGGCCGAGGTTTGGGGTGCACCTTCGGCCCCAGCACTGTCATGTGTCACACGTGCTCTGCCACTGCCTGGCAGTGGGAACAGCTGAGCTGGAGCAAACGGCCAGCATGGGGAAGGTTGGGGAATCTCTGGTGCTTCCTGGGAGAGAAGTTGCCCTGGAGCACGGGAGCAAGTTGGGTTCTTGCAAGGTGCATCCCAGAACGTTCCCATCCCTGTGCTCCCTTCCTGAGGCTTAGTGGAAGCACAAATGCAGCTGTAGGAGAGAGCCAGAGTCAGGTCTCTTTTGAGTCCTGTTTCTGCCAGAGTAACCTGGTTAGTCCATGGGAATAACTTGCACCAGAGTTGGGGTGACATGGAGATTCTGTGTTTGGCCTCTGAGCCATTGCCCTGCTCATGGCCATTGTGCCTGTGGTGGTGCAGCTGCACCATGCCTGTCTCTGAGAGGAGGCAGCTGAAACTTGCGGAACAATTCGCATCCCCCCATGAGTAGAGTTCCTCTCCCGGTTCCGGGGCCTGTGTAGATGTGGGTCTCCTCCAGCTCATGGTGCTGGCAGCCCCTCAGTTTCTCTGACAAAGTGGGGCACATGCTGCTTCTGATTGTGGTGATGATAACGGCAAATCAGCAGAAGCAAAAAGTTGATCTGTGCATCAAACTGCACTTCCTATGGTTGTGCTCAACATGTTCTGTGGATGTGGGCCTCTCCCGTCCCTTCACTTTGCTTTTCCTCGTGCTTAGGAACAACTTCAGGCCTTTCTGAGAGGGCTTGAAACCTGCTGAGGAGAGAAAGTGCCTTCTCATCTGCAGCGGTGCTGCTGGGATGAGGCTCCCTCTTCCTGACGCGCAGCCTGGCAGCTGCTGGAATTGCCTGCAGCCGCATTGCTCCGCACCGCACTTTCCACCAGGCTGGCATGGTCCTTTCAGAGCCATGGCGGGGAAAGGATTTCTCAGAGAAAAGGCAAAACATCAGCTGCTTTCCAAGGACGGCACTTTGGAGTTATGTCACTATTTAATATATAGCAAGGTTTTTCTGAGCTCCCTCCCCAGCTATTCCCCAGAGGGGAAGGCAAGTTGTAGGTGGTCTCTGTCCCAGAGGGCAGGAATTGTCCTGTCTCTGCTAAGCAGTGTTTCACCTTTGGGTTCACAGCTGCAGGAAGAGGCTTGAGGCTGTGGTGGCTGGAAGTTTAGAGTCATAATTGGCTCTTGGCCATGCTGGATGCTGTGGTTGGAGGTGTGATTTGGGAAGGGGGAGGAATTGCCTATCAGAGGCGTCTCTCACTGAGCTGCCCGTGAAGGAGGGGGATGTCTTGTTGTCCTTTTTATGAATTTTGCTTCATGCAGTGATTTGTGTGAGCTCTGAGCTGGGATTCCCCAGGAAGGGCTGCAGTTGGTTGTCCCTATTTAGCCTGGGACTAGCACCCAGCAGATGAGCAGTCTCACACAGCAGTTATCTCAATGAGGCCATGATGGTTTGGGTCCCTCATATTGGGACTTTGTCATGCCATCCCATTCTGAGCTGGTAGGAACAGCCAGGGTGGGCTGGCTGGTGCTCTGGGGTCTGGCCAAGGCAGCCACCATGGCTGCCCATCTCTCCCCACTAGAGGCTGCTGATGACCAGAGCATTTTCCATCCCTGCTCTGAGAAGGCACTGGGGTCTGGAATTTGCAAGGCTGAGCATCCCGGCCTGAGCTTTTCCTGCTGATTCACCCTGGAGACAGCAGTGCACTTTTCTTGGCAATGGCTGGGTTCAGGGGGCACATCTGCTCCCCTGCCAGGCTCACAATAGATCTCCCTACTTCATTAAGTCCTAATTAGGTAAATGCACCGGGACCTAGTTCGAGGCCATTGCTAGGGGACATGGATCCAGTGGGGAGCCGGGTACCAGGGATGCCGGCTACCATCCTGCCTGCCTCAGGGGTTTTTCCAGCTGGGTGCTGAATGTGGAATGTTCAGGCTCTTGTATTGTTTTCCCAGAGGATGTGTGCACAGCAATAAGAGCTTCAGCCCTCTGGCATGAATCAATTGTCAGAAAAGCCAAGGATTAGTTAAGCCAATGAAAGGATCCTTCACCTCTGGGCACCCTGTAGACACAAAGGAGAGTCTTAGACCAGGCCACCAAACACCTGGGCTGGATGGGTTGGAAAACCACAACCCTGGGAAGATGGTTAATTACAAAACAATGAGGTGTAAAATGAAAGGCAGTGGCTGCTGCAGTGGAAGTGCAGGGAAGGAGTCTGTGGAGTTGCACAAGCCCTGCTGCCCTTGCTGGTGCAGGCAGTGCTGGGTGGGCAATGTGGTGCCAGCTGGCTCTGGCACAGGGTACAGCTTCCCTGACAATGGCAGAGCAGCGCTTTACATAATCTGGGATTTGCCAAACAAGCTTGAAGGTCTGGAAAATCCTTCTGCTATTGTTCATGCTCAAAGTTTACTAAACTTCCTGGTTTGATCTGCAGGGCTGGATTTTGCTTTGGGACCACAGTGGGGGAAAATGCTCTTTGCACAGAGGGAAGAAAAGGGTGTTTGTGGTGTTTAATCCATTCTCTGTAGATGAAACTATTTTTGTGGTTCACAAGAGGTTCTGAGCAGCTGCTCACAGCTTTATAGGGCTGCAGGACTCTCTGTCTATCCAATTAATATGGTTGGTGTCTAGTCCCCTCCTGATGCCCCCCTGAGAAAAGCCTGGACTACCAGATGAGGATGGGGAGCCGTGGGCAGGGCTCACAGCCACCATCTGGGCTCCCGGCTCGGAGCCTGTGTCGGGACACAAATGCCGTGTCGGGACAGCTTTTTGCTGTCTCAACCCCTCAGACCCTGAGGCTCTGGGAAGGCTCCAAAACTGCCACTCGTTGGCAGATTTTAGGAGAAGAGGCGTGATGGGAACTTGGGGTGTCTTGTTATGCTGTGTCAAACCTGGTGGTAACTTCCTGGAGATTTGGGGCAGCTGGGAACCCCTCTGGGAAGATGCTGATGCTGTGGGAGCCACCCCAGGCCCATCCTGGCCTGTGTAAGGCTGTGGGCTCGACCTGGACGTGTTTCCTGGCCCCTGAGAAGTGTTTTGGG